TAGCAACAAACTATTAATGTAAAGAAAATAATAAAATGCAAGACAATAAAATAATTCTTACAAAATCTTTAATAGAATAACATTTATTTGAGATGTGCACAAAAAAAGGAAAAAAAATATAAATTATAATTAATCGTATGTTATTGTACAGATAATTATGATTTTTCGTATACTTCTTTGAATAAAAAGGTCTTTTTTGTCTTCTAACATTCGTTAGTTGCTAGATTGGTTAATTTTTTTTTTGTTTTATTGCCCTATGGTTAATTCCTTTAATACTTTAAGATTTTATGTCACGCCAGTTCTAAGGCACAGTACAGATTGTGCCTTATGTTTTCATGCCAATTGTATTTCACAATGCTGACACCATCATTGCAAACGCAAGAAAGTTTTCAGTATATTTTATTGTGTCTAGTGTAGAAGGATTTTTAATATTCACCTTATATAATACATTCTCGCACAAAAAATAAATTGTTGTTTCCAATTTGGAACGACTTTTATTTTCTGGATATCATTTTTAAAAATTTTAAGTCCATCAAGGGCTTTTATACTTGACTCCTTATTACAGTAAGCAGTGAGCACCATAAACATACTATTACTGTTACTCTGTTTATGATGTAATGAATAGTATCTAATGTCATTTAACGGGACAAACCTTATTATGACCTTGTCCACTTCTTGGGTAACATCATTACTGGCATTATTGCCATTAATTTATCATAAAGGTCGTTAGATTTTTGAATCAGTAGCATTAATGTCTTTTCGTTCTCAATATTTTTGCAAGTATTTATACTCTTTAATTTGTGTATTCCTAAACCTTTCGGCTACAAGTCCAGCAGTATTCGATTGTACGTCATACGTCTTCTACCTACTCAGAATTTTCATACTGTATAATTTAATAGATGCTAGAGCTTTTTTACGTTCACACTTCTTTCCATAGTATTTTGATCTTACAAGTTGTAGTATCGAGGCAGCTACTTCTTTAGCCATCTGCAGGGGTTTCTACAGTTGTGGTCAGCCAAGTACTCTTATCAAGTACGAGAGTTTATATATTGATTAGCCTTGTAATGTTAGCACTATTTTTGGTCTCTTGTAGTAAACTAAACATTGCCTCGTAACCCAAGTAATTAATAGCACAGGGCTCCTCTTGTACTCCAAATCTTTTAATAATTTTCTTTTAGATAAGTCAGCTATAGCTTTCTGAAACAGCATCCATGAGCCATTATGTTGACGTTTTTTGACTCTCAATTATCCATGATAAATGTATGACTGTAAGTGTCATTGGAGACTAAGAATATATGTGTGTGTACGTGTTCAACTCTAAGATTATGCTGTTAATGTTTATTTTGCATATGC